AGCCCCGAATGCTAAAAAGTTTAATTTTGAGTGTTTTTGTTGTCATGAGTGGGGTCACCCGTGGTATGCTTGTCCTAAGAAGCCTCCTAATTGGGTCCCCCCACCTCAGCTACTATCTGAAAAAGGTAAGGCAGCCATAGCAAATATAGCAAGTCATTCTACAAGTCAAGATGAGTCCAAAGAGTCCGATGGTCCTGTCCTTTTTAACGCTGCTACTTGCATGCACGTTTTCTCTACTAGTAGTGAGGAGTTTATTCTTGATAGTGGCTGCTCTGAAACCATGACTCCCTATCAGTCCATTCTCAAGGATTTTCAGCCCTCATATGACTCAAAAGCTGTGACTCTTGCTGATCTTGGCAAAGTACCAATCAAAGGAGTCGGCAAGCTTGAGTTCGAAAAGGATGGTAAGTCATTTTGTGTCAATAAAGCTTTGTTTGTTCCTGATTTGGGAGCAAACTTGCTCTCAGCCGGACAACTCGAAGAGAAAGGTGCCTCCGTTCTCTTGCAAGGGGGGAAAGCCAAAGTGTGGGACAGTGCAGGAAATCTGGTGGCTGAAGGCGAGCGTACCGGGCGGCTCTACAAGATGAAGTTGGAGATTAAGCGCGGTGCTAGCAACACGAAGAACGACGTTGTCTCGCTTCCCGCTGTTTCAACCGATCAAGTCAACAACAAAGGGAGTATCTCCCAAGCTGAGGTATGGCATGCACGCTTGGGGCACGTGGGAGTGCAAGCATTGAAAGAGTTGGTAAATCACAAGAGCGTGGAAGGATTGAGTTTGAATGAAAGTGCAGTCAAGTCCCTTTCTTCCGTTCCATGTCCATCTTGTGTGGAAGGTAAACTAGCTAGAAAGCCATTCTTCCCTTCTAAGTCTCAGTCAAGGGACCTCCTAGAGTTGGTCCACACTGATGTCTTCGGCCCCATGCGAGACCCTACTCGAAACGGTAAGAGATATTTGGTGTCTTTCATTGATGGTCCTTTTTCATCAACACCAAGGATGAAGTTCACAAGTGTTTCAAGCAATGGCTAGCACTTGTTGAGAGAGAGTCAGGGAAGAAGTTACTCACCTTGAGGTCGGATCGAGGAGGTGAGTACATGGGGAAAGCGTTTCAGGGGGAGTTGTTGGCATTGGACATCAAACAACAGTTCACTTGTCCCTATAGTCCTCAGCAAAATGGAGTGGCAGAGAGGTTTCATCGCACTATCCAGGCTATAGCTACCACTTTCCTTCAGTTCAAAGGCCTTGACAAGCTCTGGTGGGGTGAGGCAATCACTATGGCAATTTATGTTCGCAACAGGAGACCCACAAGGCCCTTACCGGAAGGTGTAACGCCATATGAGGCTTGGTTTGGAGTTAAACCAGATCTGTCTATGCTTCGTGTTTTTGGTTCCATGGCCCAATACCGTGTTCCAGATGCAAAGAGACTCAAGCTGGACAGCAAAGCTCATTGGGGCCTCTTCATCGGCATGAGCAATGAGAGCAAGGGATGGGTCCTTTGGGATCCTGTCACCAAGCGAGAAGTGGTTTCAAGGGATGTTGTCTTCTATGAAGACATGTCCCTTGCAGGTTGGCATAAGTTTTCCTCTTCCTCCTCTCTACCCTCTATCCAACAGGAACCAGCAAGCGCACCTGAGGAAACAACACAAGAGGAGGAAGAAGTTGACACCGATTCTGACCATAGCGGACCGATCATCGATCTCCCTCAAGCCGTCGTCAACGAGTCCAACCGTGCCACGCCAGTGCCACCAGCAGCTACTCAACCAAGTGGAGATGAAGTTCAGCCATCAAATGAAGACAATCCACCGCAGCAAGTCACCGTTCCATCACCACCAAAGGAGCAGCAGCCAACAGTCACAAACCAGCCAGCTATATCAACACCAACCTCACAATTTCAACGCCAACCGGATCAGCCCACCACTACGCCATCAAACCCATCACCAGCCATCACTCCAGAGGCAACTACAGAAGCTCATCATCATCCCATGCAGCAGCAATCAACAGCTACAAGACCCCAAGTACCTACATCAACACCATCTACGACTCTTCCTAGCAACAAGTCAACCGTCACCGCAACACCTCGTTCTCATACCACACGTTCATCACTTGTTCCAACGTCAAGCCAGCTCATAGCACGAGGATCACTTGAGCGAGTCACCACCAACACCAGCTCCAACAGTCCACTTCTTCACCCAAGACCTTTCTCAACTTCACCCCCACGTCCCGGATTCGGTCGTCATCAGTTACCACCATCTTCAACACCGAGCAACAACACCAACCAGCCCCAACCATCACCACCTCTCGACAAGGCAGCGTCATCATCAATTCCCAAGCTTCTAGTCTCAAGATCCCCACCAAGAGCATTTTCACAACCAACTATGCCGACAAACGTTTCAGCTTCACCGCCACGAGTCACCATACCTAATCCTCAAGTCAACACCGATAATCAAGATATTTCCACGCCAGGAGAAGAACAAGCAGCCGTGCCGCCGTCGCAGCCGATGTCGCAGCCGTTGTCTCAGCCGCAAATGACCGCATCAACGCGATCAAACACTGTGAGACCGAACCCTACCACTAATGTGTCTCAGCCAACTGAGGAGTTTGGTAAAGGTAAACGAGTCCGCAAGGTAAAAAAGCCCTTCAATTTCATGGTTGACATGTCATCAAGGTGCACATGTGAGGAGAGTGAGAATTGCATTCACAAGAAGGTAGAGGCAATATGCATGGCAGCATCACACCTTCCGCGAGAGCCCTTGAGTCGTCGTGAGGCAATGGCAAGTCCCGAAAGAGAGCATTGGTTGAAAGCCGAGGAAGAGGAGATTGAGAGTCTCATGAAGCGAGGTACATGGCGTCTTGTTGAGCCACCTCCAGGGAAGAAGGTAATTGGTGTCAAATGGGTGTACAAGATCAAGGTAAAAGGTGATGGTAGCCTCAATAGGTACAAGGCAAGGTTAGTGGCAAAAGGTTATTCCCAAATTCCAGGTCTTGACTTCACCGAAACCTTTGCCGTGGTAGCAAAGTACACCACGGTACGAGTCCTCCTCGCCATAGCCGCATATCTTGGTCTCCATATCCATCAAATGGATGTCAAGAACGCATTTCTCTACGGTGTCTTGGAAGAAGAGGTATACATGGCACAACCCGAAGGTTATGATGACGGTACGGGTCGAGTGTGTCGCTTGGTAAAGTCCCTTTATGGTCTCAAACAGTCCCCACGGGTTTGGTATCATGCTCTTGAGCAGGTACTTTTCAAGCATGGTTTCACAAGGTCCATGAGAGACAACGCTCTGTACTTCATGCACACGAGTGAGGGGGAGTACATTTGGCTCTTGGTATATGTCGATGACCTCCTCCTAGTCTCAGGTTCTCTTGATCTTCTCAACAAGGTGAAAGGTATTCTCACGATGACCGATCTTGGTAAGCCGAGTCATTATCTTGGTATGAACATTGTGAGAGATCGTAAGTCACGGTCCATCTTCCTATTCCAGCAAAGGTACATCCAAAAGGTCCTTGAGAGGTTTGGTCTTGATGATAGCAAGCCATCACCTACCCCACTTCCTTCCAAATTTGTCCCTTTGTCTTCACATCAGCCCTATGAAGAGAGAGAGTCAAGCCTTGATATCATAGGTATTAAAGAGTTGTGTCTTGAGGAGAGTGAGCATCATGGTGAGAATTCACTTAAGGTATCCCCACAAGACCTAGCTCTGTACCAAAGTCAGGTTGGGTGTCTCATGTATGCAGCCCTATGCACAAGGCCCGACTTAGCATTCACGGTATCTAAGCTAGCTCAACACATGAGTGCCCCTTCACCTATTCATATGCATGCAGCCAAGCGAGCTCTTCGGTATCTCAAAGGTACTTCTAATCATGGTCTTCTCTTCCAAGCCAGCCCATATGCAAGCTCCCTCCAAGGCTTTACCGATGCAGATTGGGCGGGAGAATTGGGCACACGCAAGTCTACCGGCGGCTACATCTTCCTCATGTGTGGTGCCGCTGTTTCTTGGCAATCGCGCAAGCAAAGTTCTGTGGCACTTTCAACAACCGAAGCTGAGTACATGGCAATGACCGAAGGAGCAAGGGAGGCAATCTGGTTACGTGGACTCTTGGAGGAATTGAGGCAGCCGCAAACTCAACCAACTCCGCTCTACGTGGACAACACTTCAGCCGTAGCTCTTTCCAAGAACCCGGTTCATCATGGGCGTACAAAACACATGGAGGTGCAGTACCACTTCATTCGTGAGCAACTAGAGAAGGGAGTTCTCGCCGTCAACTTTTGCCGTTCATTCGATCAAGCAGCAGATTTCATGACCAAGGTTCTTCCACATGATGCATTCAACATGTGCAAGGCAAGAGCAGGCCTCATGACACTTCATGAAGCAGTGGAGCAGTTTGAGGAGAATGAGGAGTGTGAGGGGAAGAGACGTGGGCAGCAGCATGAAGTGTATGCTAAGGAGATGTGAAAGGAGCATCAGCATGGGTGTATGTGTGCTTCGGGTCTGGTGCGAGGGGGAGTGTTGGAGAATCGAGTTTTTGCCGCCCCAGCCCTTTGCACACAAGCAGCAGCAAGGGGGAATGTTGGCGATGAATCAGAGCTTCGGGAAGTACTTCGAAAGTTCCACCACCAATCAGATTTCAGCCGAAGACTCGATATAGTTCAAAGCTGCCTTCAAACCGAAGTGTTGGCAGTTTCTACAGGTTTCTACACATCAGAATCAGCTATAACAGAAATATCCAGAGTTTTCTTATTCATGCACCTCATGTGGCACTCAAAGTCACTCAAGGTCCATCCAATCTAGATTGTGCCCAAGTTACCAGGGAAGTTACATTGTCTATCAGACTAGTTTGAGCTTTCAATCTGTCTTGTTTGTGATGCCTAGAGTTGTGCTTTAGTGGGCTTGTTAATCTTGAACATAGTGAAGTTTTACCTCATCCAGTCAATTCCAGCAGCCCTGCTAAGACTTTCCAGCCAAGTTTCCAGCCCTCCAGTAGTCACAGCTACTCTGTTTTACAAGTACACCATGGCAGTGGGCGGCACAGTGCTAGCCGGCATAATGGTCGCCACTGCAGACGCCACTTTAGGTGCCATATCATGCGCCTTACCCATGCCCGCTCTAACCCTTCCAACCGCCGCCTTCCCTGCTGCTCCCTTCTTTGAATTCGCCTCCACTTCCTCACCGACGTTCCTTCCACTCCGCCGCACTCCCTCACCAACGGCCCCTGTGCCCTCCTGCTCATTGCTCCTCCTCCACTCCCCGCCCTTCCCTTCCACCCCGCCAACCCCCCTCCTCCACTTCACTTCAACTGCTGTGCCGCCCTCCCCTCGCCCCGTCATGCTCCCCGCCCCTCTCCACCCCGTTTCCCCTCCAGCCACTTCCCCTGTGCCCTCGCTTCTGGCCCCCCACACTAACCCTCCCCAGCCTTTGCTATCTGCGTCCCACTGGGGCTTAAGCTGCTTATCCTCCTCCCGCTGCTTCCAGACGTCGTCATCGGATCCGCCCTCCCCCAGTTTCGCCTTCCTCTGCTGCCCAAACTCCCTCCAATTGTCCACCGCCCCACCGCCCCCTACACTCGCCCCATTTGATGCGATGCCGTCACTGCCACCACTACCACCAGCACCAACACCACCACTCCCACCACGCCTCGCTGCTGCTGCTCCCACTGCTGACGCTACTGATGATACCCCTCCCCATCCTCCCCCCCCGCCAGTTACCAGAGGACCCCTTCCCGCATCCTCTGCTCTCTCGTTCGCTGCTGCTGCTGACTGAGAGGACGTGGACGAATGAGTTGGAGAGACGATCTCCTTCCTTTGCCACTCCGGCTCACTCTTGGCCATACCTCCTTTTGCTGCGCCTATTCCCCACCCATCAGCATCACCACCATCGGCACCACCAGCAAGAGCAGCACCACCGGACTCGCCAGCAGCAGAGCTACAGCCACCAGTGCTGCTCTCCCACGTGGCCGCACCAACACGAGTACCAGCACCAACAGCACAGCCAGCGCTCACGGCATACCTCCTCAACCCACCACTGCTCCCCTCCCACACGGTCGCACCACCACCACCACCACGACCAGCGCCCATGCCACCACTGCTCCTCTCCCACGCGGTCGCACCACCACCACGACCAACGCCCACGCCACCACTGCTCCTCTCCCACGCGGTCGCACCACCACCACGACCAACGCCCACGCCACCACTGCTCCTCTCCCACGCGGTCGCACCACCACCACGACCAACGCCCACGCCACCACTGCTCCTCTCCCACGCGGTCGCACCACCACCACGACCAACGCCCACGCCACCACTGCTCCTCTCCCACGCGGTCGCACCACCACCACGACCAACGCCCACGCCACCACTGCTCCTCTCCCACGCGGTCGCACCACCACCACGACCAACGCCCATGCCACCACTGCTCCTCTCCCATGCGGAAGCCCCACCTAGCGCCTCACCCTGCCCCCTCCCGCTAACACACTTGCCAGGTGGCACATACCTGCCAAAATTCTGGCCCAAGCCTCTGCTACTCCTGGCGGCAGCATCCCCCCACTTCGCAACCTCATGCCCCACTGCGACATTGGCGCCACCTTCATTCGCGTTGCTCCTACTGCCGCTGCTCTGCCAGAAGGCGCTGTCGCCCCATTGGTTGTTGAGGTCTGACATGGCGTCGGACAAGATGGTGCTCACTACACTCGCGTCCTCGTTAGTAGCTGCGCTCCTGGGACGCATGTAGCCGCTAGAGGAGCTGAACTGGCTTAAAGAGTCGTCATCATTGGTTTTCCCTATGAAGCCTTCCCACTGCTGCTGCTGCTGCGAGTCCTGCTGCTGCTGCTGCTGCTGCTGCTGCTGCGGGTGCTGGTGCTGCTGCTGCGGGTGCTGGTGCTGCTGCTGCTGCTGCTGCGGATGATGCTGCTGCTGCTGCTGGTGGTGCTGGTGCTGCTGCTGCTGCTGCTGCTGCTGCTGCTGCTGCTGCTGCTGCTGCTGCTGCTGCTGCTGCTGCTGCTGCTGCTGCGGGTGGTGGTGGTGGTGCTGCTGCTGCTGCTGCTGCTGCTGCTGATGCTGCGGGTGCTGCTGCTGCTGCTGCTGCTGCTGCTGCTGCTGCTGCTGCTGCTGCCACTTAAGTACTTGACTCCCAAACTGCAGCTGTTGCTGCTGCTGCTGCCACTTAAGTGCTTGACTCCCAAACTGATGTTGCTGCTGCTGGCACCAGCGACCAGCAACCCCCGCCACAGCCCCGTCAGTTGCACCAGCGACAGCACCTTCGCCATTGTCAGCATTGGTCGGCACAGTAGCAGTCTCGATTGCCGCATCCTTCCACCCGACGATGTCACCCCACCCATTGAGTATCGGCACCTTGCCATCTGCCTGCCCCTCCATGCCATCACTGCTCACAGCCGTGGTGCCATCGCCAGGAGCTGTACCGGAAAGCACAGCAGTGTTGGCGGACGCAGAGAAGCCAGCGGGAGTAGAGGAGCCAGCAGGCGCAGTGCTAGCAGCTGCAGCAACAGTTAAGGCAGAGCCAGCAGGGGCAGACGCGTTGGCACTGAGTGGAGCAGGATAGCTGGACCCGCTGGAGTGGCACCTGCTAGTGATGGAGCTAACGGCAGCACTACCAGGTGCAGCCGTGCAAGCCTGACCCAGACCCCAACAATGGGGCTGTTGTACCTGCTGAGACCAAGCTCGGTTCGGCCCGGACCAAGCTTGATGCTGGTTCGGCATCTGACCCGCATCACGGGTCGGCCGCATGTCAGCAGGAACATGTCCCGACGTCACAGGGAAAGGAGCTCTCGTTGCTGCTGCTGCTCCCATCGTTGATGCACCTCCTCCTGCTGCTGCTTTAGCTGCAGCCGGAGCCGACCGTGTCGCCGCCTTTTCCAACCAGGGAGCGACGGCGGATGTGGTGGAAGAGCCCCAACCCGTGCTGTTGCCGTGCGTAGTTGGTGCTGTTGATGCTGTTGGCGCTGTTGGCGTCACCCCACCCCAACCCGCGTATGCAGCGCCGCAAGCAGCGCCGTACGCGGCACCGTACGCGGTGGTGCCCGAGGCGCCCCACGAGCCGCAGTCCCCTCCACGCCAGGACTCAGCGGAGTCTGTGTCCTCGGTCTCACTCGCCCAATGCTGCTGCGTGAGACGCACGGTGGAGTGCTGCCGCCAGTACTCCATTGGGTCGATGGGCGCCGCTGTCATAACCGTGCTGCACTCGCTTGCGCTGTCATCCATAGATTGAAACGCCTCGGGAGTCGTCTCTTGAAGAACCTCAAATTTCGCCTTTTGAGGCGCCTCAGATTTCACCTTTCCAGGCACCACAAAAGTCGCTTCTTGAGGCGCCTCAGATTTAGTCTCAAAAGTCGCTGTTTGAGGCGCCACAAGAGACGCCGCCGTCATGCTCGTGCTGCACATGTTTGCACGGTCGTCCATAGCACATCAGATCTTAGGAAGACGCACGATCCTGCTGTTGGAATGGTTCGACGAACCACACCTAAGTGACGGCGCGACTTGGTGAAATTCGGACCGACGGCGATCTACTTTACGGTGGCGTGTGGAGGAAGCAAAGAGAAGAAGCTAAGAAGCTCCTAAGTTGCTTGGCGTGTGAGCTACGGGAGTGGAAGCTACGGGAAGAAGTTGGAGTGAAATTGAAGGAAGATTGGTGAAGATTTGACTAGGGGAGAAGATTTGGTTGACGGGGAAGAAATTGGGTTAGGTTCATGGCGTGTTCGACAAGTTTCTGTTTTTCGGACTTTGGGAGTGTTCGACGAAGCAGGGTCGGTTGCGTGTGCGACTCGACGTGACACTTGGAGTGTGGTACAAGTTTGGTTGCTATGAGTTTGCTTGTGTGACACGTTTTGGTTCGGTTACATGTGTGTGTGGGGAGTATAAAGTCTTGTACTAGTCAGTTGAATACAACACTTGGGAAATCTCTCGCTTGGTGAAAACCAATGTTCAAATCTTATTGGTGACACTTTTGTCATAGTTCAGTGAAATCTCCGTCAATTCCCCGCGAAAGCATTCGCAAAGGCCCCGTGTGGAGACCTCGCCAGATGCTAGTGAAGGAATCGCGAATCGAATTCCTCTGCAGAGCGCCAGTGAAGCGCCAGTCAAGCGTTGGTGAAACAGAAAACAGTCAAACGTTAGTGAAACGTTGACAGAATTAACCGCTACGCATATCGTTGGAATCGTGAGAACGAGGAGAACGTCATCGACAATAGCAAGCAGACTTTTGTCGATTGAGGCGTCAGCGATCCAGACAGTTGGTATCAGAGCTTGGAGAAGGCGAACGGGCGTGCGCTACTCGTCTTGAAGAACGGGCGTGCACTACTCGTCGCTAAGTGGGAGAAGAAGGAGTTCTTCACGCCTACGCCATGGGGGACGAGGCGAGTTCGGGTTCCAGTGTGAGTTTTGGAAACCCGGAGATGAAGGCGCTTCTCGAGGCACTTGCGAGTGTCCGCGTGGTGACGAAGCCGACGATCGGGCTCAGTGAAGCCCAACGCTTCAAGGGAAGCAACTACAACGTATGGCGGAAGAAATTTATTCGGAGGGCAGAGGAGGTTGAGCTCCTACCGTACTACCGTCCCGACGAAGAGACGAAGGAGGGAGTTCTACCTTCCAAGACGGATCCGGCGGAAAATGTGGTGTTGTTTAAGAAGCAAAGTAAGAAAGCATTCTTCCAACTTTGCGATTCGGTTGCTGATACTATTGCGGTGGATTTGGACCAATTTGCAGGGGAGTTGAACTCGGCACAACGAGCGTGGGAGTACTTGGAGTCCACCTACATGGGCAACAATGATACTAGCAGAAAGGCCGTAAGGAAGCAACTGCTGATGCTGAGCATGGAGAAGGGTGAAAACATTATCACCTACATCAATAGGGCGAAGAGCTACAACGACGACCTACGGGTGATGGGAGCCGCGGAGTCGGAGCAAGCGATGATCGACTACATCGTTGAAGGGCTTCCTAAGGAGTACGAGTCGGAAATAGGGATGTTCACGTATCAACTGCCGGAGAACCTGATGAAGCTCCAAGAGATTCTTCAATCTCTTGAGACGGTGAAGGAGATAAGGAGGAAGAAGGCGGCTACGGAGATTGAAGACGATAAACCTGGTATGGTGAATGCAACTTCAACAAAGGCGTTTGGAGCGTGCTTTCACTGCGGAAAGAGGGGGCACAAGGCAATCAATTGCTATAAGAACCCGAGGAGCAAGAACTACAAAGGGAAAACGGGGGGAGAACGACCATGAAGACAACGAGGGAGCGGATAAACGCGGATTTGGCGGCAAATGCGACTATTGCGGGCGCTTCGGTCATCGTGCCGCGGATTGCTTCTCCAACCCGAATAGCAAGAGCTACAAAGGATCACAGCCGAGGAACGTGGTTGCAAAGGCAAACGTGGCAGTGGTGGAAAAGGAGGACGTCATCCTTGGTGGTGCACACCGTGCGAACGTGGTGCGGGTTCCTAAGGTGAACGAGTCAACGGCTGGTAGTAAGATTGATGCGTGGCTCTTGGATAGTGGCTGCACTCGTCATATGACTTATAGGTCCGAGTTGGTGGAGAACATGAGAGAGTCAAGTGAGAAATTCATTCTTCAAGGTAACAACGCGAAGCTTCCAGTGACGGGAGAAGGTGATGTGGTGCTACAGAGTCCTTATGGTGGAATGAGACTTGAGCATGTTTTGCTGGTTGAGGACTTGAAGGTTAATCTAATTAGCCAATCACAACTTGATGATTTGGCGTGCAAGGTATTTTATGACGACGGTAAGGTTACGGTGTTTGGTCCTTCATGGGAGAAGTATGCGGATGGCTACTTCAACGATGGTTTCTATGAGATGAGCTTGATTGCATTGAATGACATGGATACGTTGTTTGATGACCGTGAGTTTTATAAGGTGAAAGATGAGGTGAATGAGAAATCCTTCATTGAGGTTTGTGAGGTTGATAACAAGGGAGATGTGTCGTCTTGTGTGGAGAAGGATGCGCACGTGGAGGATGTGTGCGTGGAGGAGGTGGTGAAGTCGAACAAGGAGTTTCGTGTCAACACCAAAGCGGCAACAATCATTGTTGAAGATGAAGCTGCAAGCGTGGAGTGTGATGGAGTTAAAGCTGCAAAAGAAACCCTCGTGGCGAAGGGAATGAAGGCAAACGGAGCTGCAAAGGTGCGGCCAAGGAGGAGTGCGAGGATCGAGAGTCTCTATCGCGGATTGGACGTTAAGGCGGTCAACTTCAAGCCAAGGAAGCAGAGGATGAAGTTGCAAGAGGTGTAGGGGAGTGTGAATCTGACCTAGATCCAGAGGAGTACGGAGAAGTGTGTGGTTGTCGAACCACAGGGGAGATTGTTGGAATGGTTCGACGAACCACACCTAAGTGACGGCGCGACTTGGTGAAATTCGGACCGACGGCGATCTACTTTACGGTGGCGTGTGGAGGAAGCAAAGAGAAGAAGCTAAGAAGCTCCTAAGTTGCTTGGCGTGTGAGCTACGGGAGTGGAAGCTACGGGAAGAAGTTGGAGTGAAATTGAAGGAAGATTGGTGAAGATTTGACTAGGGGAGAAGATTTGGTTGACGGGGGAAGAAATCGGGTTAGGTTCATGGCGTGTTCGACAAGTTTCTGTTTTTCGGACTTTGAGAGTGTTCGACGAAGCAGGGTCGGTTGCGTGTGCGACTCGACGTGACACTTGGAGTGTGGTACAAGTTTGGTTGCTAGGAGTTTGCTTGTGTGACACGTTTTGGCTCGGTTACATGCGTGTGTGGGGTAGAGTATAAAGTCTTGTACTAGTCAGTTGAATACAACACTTGGGAAATCTCTCGCTTGGTGAAAACCAGTGTTCAAATCTTATTGGTGACACTTTTGTCATAGTTCAGTGAAATCTCCGTCAATTCCCCGCGAAAGCATTCGCGAAGGCCCCGTGAGGCACCAGTGACGCGAATTTCAGTGTGGAGACCTCGCCAGACGCTAGTGAAGGAATCGCGAATCGAATTCCTCTGCAGAGCGCCAGTGAAGCGCCAGTCAAGCGTTGGTGAAACAGAAAACAGTCAAACGTTAGTGAAACGTTGACAGAATTAACCGCTGCGCATATCGTTGGAATCGTGAGTACGAGGAGAACGTCATCGACAATAGCAAGCAGACTTTTGTCGATTGAGGCGTCAACGATCCAGACACCTGCAAGACTAGCGACGCGATCAAGGAGGGAAATTAAGGGTGAGAGATCAACCTTAAAAAAAAAGAGAGAAAAAAGGGGAAAAAAAAGTTGCAGAATCGCAAGCCAACAACGCACCAAGGGCCAGCAACGAACTCGCACAACGCATCCAAGCGTCCGCAGGCTCACCTCTGCGTCACCTCGAAGAGATCTATCTCAGAGCAGCCACTCAGCGCAAGCTTTTCCGCCAAGCACTAAGGGTCTTCTGCCTGCGACTGGCTTGAAGCGAGATTTTCCAATCTGCGTGGCCAGGGTTTCCAGCTATCAAGAACCTCGTGATCTCCAAAAAACTCCAAAGCAGAGAAGTTCTCTTGCTGTGCTGGTCTTCTCTCGAACTCCAGAGACTTCCAGAGCAGAGGTGTCTCTGGTTGCTGTTCTCGGCTTCTCTCTCACGATGGGAGCGAAGAGGTGAGGATGCCTTCATGTCTCTGAGAGGTACAGTACGGTTCTTTACGCTAAAAAAACGTTGCATATGCTTAAGAATGCGGTAACCTGGACGTATATTGTGGAAGGCCTTTCTTCGTGAGGGCTGATGGCAATGGCATGCACGCCACGCGACCCGACCGTTCGACATTGCGACACGGTGCAGTGCAGCAATGCATGCACACGAATAGAGCTCAAGTTCCAAACGAACGCCCTAAAAGATGATTCTCTGCTCGCCTATGGCGTGATTTGTTTCTTGCTCTGCTAGACCGTATGCAGTTTTTGCGGTGATGCTTCTTAAGAATGGCATCGATAAGAACGACCTAGTACACGGATCTAAAAGTTAACTTCTTAACTTTGTTGGCAAGGCTACGATTTGGACACACTGTGGGACCAGCCACAAATTGATGACGATGGCCATCATGCCCCCGTTTGCGTAAACCAATCAGCGACGAGGAGGCATGATCCAGATTGCCATCGCCATGCCTCCAAACCACAAGCATAGTGACGTGACCACATAGCTAAGGGCGGGGTGATGTATCCGAACCGAAGCAAATTGCCAATTTCGCACCAATAAAACTTATTCAAATGTACCTAACCACTTTGATACTACATGTCCTTCCTCTCAGTTATTTTGACTCGGTCTCCTGATACTGTGCGGCAAGAACAGTACCTGGCACAGTCAGTAAATAGAGCAGGGCAGAAGCACAAGGCCAGATCCAGCTGAAAGCTTCACTCACTGAGCATCCTGTGAATCCACTCATCTCTAGCCATAAGCTGACAGTTGTCGCGCGTGAATCCTCTCATCCATACATCGCATAGGGTTTTCCCGTACATTAGAGAAGACTCATTCGCGAGATCAAGAACCGCCTTTGGCGTTGAAATCGTACCACCAGCTCGCAGCTGCGTCGTCAATCTGCCGAGGCGAGAAACGGCTAGCATTTTGAGCGATCGTTTCCTTATTCGTCAATCCCGCCAACTGCCACTGTCAGGTTTTATACGTGTCAGAAGTCCCTGATGGGAAAGGCGTCTGGCGCGAAGCATAGGAACCACCGAGGCGGCGGCGATAAGCCCGAGAAGGGTTACACCGGGGACCGTGACGAAGTGGAATCAGCTGACGAGGGTTCTAGCGATAGCGATTATCTTTCGGAGTCGGAAGACGAAGGGACTGACGATTACAAGCGAGGTGGTTACCACCCCGTGAAGATCGGCGATTCGTTCAGGAATGGTCGTTATCGCGTGGTGAAGAAGCTCGGATGGGGTCACTTCTCGACCGTCTGGCTCGCGTGGGATGAAACGGAGAAGGTACGGTGCAACGATAAATGAAACCGAGAGGGAAAAATGGAGCGGGAATGGAGAGGATGAAATGGATGTGGCGTGGAGGCGAGGAAAATGTAACAGACAATGTGCCTGGAATCTGTCAATTTGAGGAGGTCAAGGTGAGGAACTCGAGTACGGAGAGTGCATTCAATGCGGTGAACTGAAGCTAACGAATTACGATCGTATGAGCTGGTCCCTCTCTTTACGTTTCCGACATCTCCATTCTCAGGAATGGCTTCTGTCTGAACACTGTCCTCTCCCCGTTTCTCACTTTGTGACGTCCCCGTTCCGTCTTTCGTGGGTTTCTGCAGCGCTACGTGGCTCTCAAGGTGCAGAAGAGCGCGTCGCACTATACCGAGTCAGCTCTTGACGAGGTTCAGCTCCTCAGACAGGTAGGAAAGGATATTTCGGGGTCACCCTAACGGTGGTCAATGCCGATTGGTTTGCTATCGAGTTAGTACAGTCGTCACTCAAGGCTCGCACGTGTTCATGGTCTACGGGTTTCAATCCATCACCTCAGCAGCTCCCCTTCTCTCTCCGATTCCTCCCCTCCAGGTGGCGGACGGCGATCCGCGGAACGAGAAATGCGTGGTGCGCCTACTCGACCACTTCCGCCACTCCGGCCCGCACGGTTCGCACGTGTGCATGGTCTTCGAATCTCTGGGGGAGAATCTCCTCTCGCTCATACCATGCTTCCCCAATTCCCCTCCCCTCTCCTCCCCATCCCCTCTCCCCCCCTCTATTCTTCCCCTTCTTCTTCCCCCCCCCCTCTCCCCCCCTCTTCCCCCCACCCCCTCCCCAACGCACCTCTCCTTCCTGGCAGGTGGCGGACGGCGATCCGCGGAACGACAAGTGCGTGGTGCGCCTACTGGACCACTTCCGCCACTCGGGCCCTCACGGCTCGCACGTGTGCATGGTCTTCGAGTCGCTAGGGGAGAACCTCCTCTCGCTCATCCGCCGCTTCCGCTACCGCGGCCTCCCCCTCCCCGCAGTCAGGCACCTCGCGCGCCACATCCTCACAGGCTTAGACTATCTTCATAGGCAGCTGTCGATTATACATACGGACTTAAAGCCCGAGAACGTGCTGCTGGTGCGGTCGATAGATGATCAGCTGGGGATTGGGGGGAGAATGGACGGTCCCCCGCCTCCGCCTCCGCCTCCCCCTCCGGTTTCGGTTTCGCGTGGGGGGGATGGCGCGGGGGCTGGGGGAGGGCGCGGGGGTGGTGCTGGGGCGGGAGGGGCGGGGGGAACGGCGGAAGGGGGGCCGTTGGCGTCACCGGCGTCGTCGGGACTGACGAAGAACCAGCGGAAGAAGCTGAAGAAGAAAGCCAAGAAGGCTGGAGCTGCTGCCGGCGGTGCTGCTAATGGCGCTGCTGATGGGGCTGCTGGTGGTGGTGGTGCGGGGGCACAGGCCGGGGAAGGGGGAGAAGGGGGAGAGGCGGAGGCGGGGGCTGCGGATATGGGGGAGAGTGAGGGGGGTTCGAGGATGGAGGAGAGTAGCGCGGGCATGGGGGAAGGGGGCGCGGGGGGAGGCGCGGAGGGGATGGTGGAGGACACGGCGGATAGCAGAGCAGCAGGGGGGGCGGCGGTGGAGGGAGGGAGGGAGTCGTCCGCGTTAGAAGCTGGGCTGAAAGAGTTCCTAGGGCTCGAAGGTAACGGAAAGGCAAGAGGGCCAGGTGAAGGGGTGGGGAAAGGGGCCGAAGCAGGGGCAGGGGGTGGTGGAGAGGCAGGGGCAGCAGCAGCAGCAGCAGCAGCAGCACCAGTAGTATCACCGCTGGCAGCGGGACTGGGAGCACAGAAGGGGGTATTCACGTCTTCGTCTTCAATGGAGGATTACCTCGGGCTGGCCGACCTAGCTGCGTCTGTTGCTGCCACTGGCACCGCTTCTGCTGCTGGTGGTGGCGGTGGTGTGGCAGGGGCTGATGGTGGCACACAGGCGAAGAGTGCAGGGGAAAAAGCTTCAGCAGCAACAGCGGCAGCAGCAGGAGGGGCAGCAGGAACAGCAGCAGCAACAACAGAGGCAGCAGCGGCACAAGCGGCAGCAGAGGCGGCAGCAGAGGTGGCAGGGAGGAGGAAGCGGCCTGTGGACCTGACAGGGATGGATATGAGCTGTAAGATCGTGGACCTCGGGAATGCCTGCTGGACGTACAAGCAGGTGCGTTCTGATTTGAGTCGACTCGAAAGTCAGCATGAGTCAACTCAAAGTCACCTTCAGTCGACTCGAAAGTCAACTTGAGTCAACTGGAAAGTCACAAAGGCCCGTGGACCTGACAGGGCTGGACTTGAGCTGCAAGATCGTGGGCCTTGGGAATGCCTGCTGCCCCAAGGTGCTGCTAGGGGTTTTGACATCCACTTGTTCCTTTCTTCCTATGTTCCCCCTGTCGCCCCTCCTCCCCCCTCCCCCCCCCTTCCCCCCTCCTCTTTCAGCTCACGAGTGACATTCAGAAGAACCGCCAGTACCGCTGCCCCGAAGTGCTGCTGGGGGTTTTTTCATCCGCTTGTTCCTCTCTTCCTCTGTTCCCCCTGTCACCCCTCCACCATCTCCCCCCTCCTCCCCTTCAGTTCACGAGTGACATTCAGACGCGCCAGTACCGCTGCCCCGAGGTGCTGCTGGGGGCGCGCTACTCCACCTCCGCTGACATGTGGTCCTTTGCCTGCCTCATCTTTGAGCTCGTCACTGGAGATGTGCTCTTTGACCCTCGCTCAGGCCATGACTTCGACCGGGACGAGGTGGGATGCTCTTGCTTGGAAACATGGACCTTGATTAGTTGGCATGTGGTCCTTCGCTTGTCTCATCTTTGAGCTCGTCACTGGAGATGTGCCCTTTGACCCGCGCTCAGGCCATGACTTCGACCGGGATGAGGTGGGATGCTCTTGCTTAGTTTGTTGACTGCTGTCAACGCTTTTTTCTCGTCAAGCTCGTCCGTTGACGAGTCAACCTTGCTTCTCTCTCACTGCACTGCACTCCTACCTCACGAGGGTCCTCTCCGTTTGAGTGAGAGTGAACCCAATCTCTATTCGTTCCTCACAATATTTTTTGTTCGCTGTTGTTGTGGCTGCGTTGCTGTGTGGGGTGTGTGCAGGATCATCTTGCGCTGATGATGGAGCTTATTGGCCGGATTCCAAAGAAGGTCAGTCACACACTGCACTCCAATCACACCTGCATTCAAATCACCGCGCACCCGACCATGCTCTCTGCACCCATGCTTTTTTGCACCCATGCATTTGAATTGACGTTTGAGAAGTCTCAAAAGTCAATTCAGGATCGCCCTAGGAGGCAAGTACTCCTGAAGCTGCTTCTCCCTCAATGATGAGCTGAGCCACACAAGGCAGTGGAAGTCCATCCCTCATTCCCCTACATTCCCTCCCTCCCCCTCTTCCACCCCTGTCTTCCCCGCCACGCCTCCCCCTATCCAGATTGCCCTAGGGGGCAAGTACTCTAGGGACTTTTTCTCCCGCAACGGGGAGCTGAGGCACATAAGGCGCCTCAAGTTCTGGCCGCTAGAGCGAGTGCTCACAGAGAAGTACGACCTCCCCCCAGCAGAAGCCACCTCCCTCGCCTCCTTCCTCACCCCCATGCTTGACTTTGCCCCTGAGAGACGCGCCACTGCCCGCCAGGCCCTCGCCCACTCCTGGCTCGCCGAACCTGAGCCGGAGCGGCCGTTAGGTTCGGCTGGTGCAGGAGGTTCGGGTGCAGAGGTAGGGTCGGGTGGGGCGGTGGGTCGGGCGGGTGGGGAGGTGGAGGATAAGAGGAAACGGGGGGAGAGTAGGGAGAAGAAGGGGGGTGGAGTGAGGGAAGGGATGGAGAGCGGTGAGAGGAGGGAGGGAGAGAATGAGGCATCTGCAGATGGGAAGGGAAAGGTGAATGGGATAGATGGGGGAGGGATGAGAGATAAGAGGGAACGGACCGGAGGGAAGGGAGGGGGTGGAGGAGTGATGAATGGGGAAGACGAGGGTATGGACTGCGATTCTGAGGGTGGTTTGATTGGTGGGCAAAGAGGAGGTAAAGCAGCTACCAGAGCAGCTGTAACGTCGCCATTAGCTCCTTCAGTGCCCTTGTCGGCATGATCGAATGAAAGGAGATTTTAGAGGATTATTACATCCTCTCGTTTCCATTTTTTTCCAAAGCATTCACAACGCATTGTTGTTGTGTGTATCATGGAAGTCCAATTGAATACCCTCGTGCTAAGAATGTAGGACAAACATACGTTTGTAGCTTATTTTGATTTATTTTTGGCGATGTAAGCTACGTACACTATAAAGTGCAAATACATCAACAGTCGTAACTGCTTCCTTCCTCTTTCGTTTTCTCTTGAGCTCCTTCATAACCTTAAATGTAACTTGGAATCGGGAAAGCTTCGTGAGGAACTTCGCAAAGTCGTCAGGATAATCCACCCAAGCTTCTCACTTTCCTGTCAACACACCTGATCATTCAGGTGATGACACACCACCAGAACAACTACTAGTCTACTACTGCTGGTCTCCTAAACTAACGACCTAGCTGTGAAGCCCATACGCGACAACAGAAGCTACCGTCCTTCACCTTCTCCCTGGCAGCCAATTCCAAACAAATAATTCATCGACGTGACACCCTTTTCAGATTGTTCAGTTCCACAGACAACCGTCAGGCTCAGTCGCATACTGGTTTATTCTAATAAGTTTCTGGTTGACTTAGCCACGATTCACCTGGCTCGATCACGCTAGCTCGAAGAGAGTCACGAACCAGATTCTCCCGCCAACACTGACAATCGGCGACTCGCAACCAGCCAACACAGATGGCCGCTTCTGGCGGTTTGCCGTTCAACCCCTTCAACGGGGTCAACGGAGTCAACCCTCTCTCTGACGCGCTCCGCGCTCGGCCGCCGGCGGCCCTCTCCTGCTCGCTCTCCCAAGGACTGTCGCTCTCGCTGCTCTCGTCTCTGTCTGCCACGTGGCAGCACGGCAAGCACCGCCTTAGAGCCAGGTGAGGATTCACCCCGCACTTACTTAAGCTCCAGGAAGATTGAGCCGTTTTGCGATTTTTTTTTTTAATTTTTGGAAACGGAAAGAAACTCTACTTCAGGAAGGCTGAGGTTGGACCCAAACTGACCTTCCGGTTTTTGGTTTAGGGTCTGTGAGGTCGGGCTTTAGGCTCCTCTCTTGATAATGTGTAGCATTTCCTTCTGCATCCAACCTTCCATTGACGCGTCATCCCACATTTTCATTGATGCTGTTACCACCTACCCACTTCTGCCCGTTTTGCCTGCAGTGCATCGGACGCATCTCAGCCGTTGGAAGAACCATCACAGAAGAAGGGCCAATCTGGGTCGTTGCTGGAGGTGGGTGGATGAAATATTCAAGGCGCTGACATTTGATCACATTGCTACCATATTACTCAGATTTCTGACGTTTGTAACATTGCTAACATTGATCACATTGCTGACATTTTTCACTTTGCCAACATTGCTAACATTTCTCACTTTCCTGACATTGCTGACATTGCTAGCACTGACTTTCACGTTGCTGACATTGCTAACATTTCTCATATTGCTAACATCGCCCACATTGATATATTGCTCACGTTTTCCCCGTGTCCCTCCCTCTCAAGTCCTTCTCCCCCGCCAGAGAGGTCCCCCTCAAGACAGTGCTAACAGCAAGCGATTTCTCTCTAATTCTTCACATTCCTTCCTTCCCTCACCTCACCCCCCTCACTTCCAATGTCCCTCATTGCCGCACAGAGGTTTCCCCTCAAGGCAGCTGTGACGGCGAGTGGGCTGGCCCTGACGGGTGACACGATAGCACAGCTGGTGGAGCGATACCGACGGAGGCAGGCCAAGGAGACAGAGATAGAGGCGGCGTCGCCGTGCTGCAGAAAGAGAGTGAGTTGGCCTGGGTGCGTTGGGAGTGGGGGGCGTGTGCATTCTAATCCGCAGCTGCTTTTTGGGGTGTCTCATCATCTCAGCAGCTTGTGGAGTGGTACCGCCACCCACCCACCACCCGCCAAATCCTTCCCCCTCTTCCCCTCCTCGTCCCCGAGCCCCCTCCGGCCCCCCTCTCCGCCCTCTCTCTCGGTTCTTTCTGAACAACCTTCCCCGACCTTTTCCTTTGTGTTCCTTCATATCCCCCCACCCCCGCTCTCTTTTCCCCCCTCCCATCAGTTGCGGGGAGTGGCGGACAAGGAGATGTGGAAGCATGATTTCATTCGAGCGCTGCACATGACCTCCAACGGCTTCCTGCTTCAATAAACATCTCCCCTGCCTCTCCGATGGCCTCCCATGCCCCTTCCGCCCGCCACACCAGTTGCGGGGAGTGGCGGACAAGGAGCTATGGCAGCACGACTTTGTTCGAGCGCTGTGCATGGCCTGCTATGGATTCCTGCTCTACGGCCCCGGCAGCTACGTGTGGTACCAGCGCCTCGACCGCCTGTTGCCTGCACCTACTCTCACCAACTTCGTGCTCAAGGTGGGAGACTGTACTCGTTATAAACAGCTCCTATTCAGTAGAAGCAAAAAGCATCCCTGTGCCAGTTGCTTCCTGCTGTACGGCCCCGGCAGCTACGTGTGGTACCAGCGCCTTGACCGCCTGCTGCCCGCTCCCACGCTGACAAATTTCGTGCTCAAGGTGGGTGGTGGTTGTACTCGTCATAAGCAGCGTACTATGGCTGCTTACAATGTAGTATGGCTTGCCACTGCTCCACGGCCCCAGCAGCCACGTGTGGTATCAGTGCTCACGTGGGCTCTCGTGAGTCCACGTGTGGCTCACTGTCCGCCTGCTGCCTGTACCCACACTCACCAACTTCGTGCTCAAGGCCTGTGGTGCTCAAACTTGTTATAAGAAGGTGTGTGGTGACATTCGCTTGGAAGCGCATGCTTCAACCACCCTCTCCCCTTGTCTTTCCCCCCTCAATACAACCAGGTGACAGCAAATCAGGTGGTGATGGGGCCGTGTGTGCTGCTGCTGGTGGTGTTTGCATGGAACATGGCATGGATGAGCAAGGCCAAGGACATTTCTTTCCCACCCGCCCCTCCCCCCTTGTCCCCATCTACCCGCAATTTCTCTTGCTCCCTCTCTCCTTGTACCCGCCCCCACATACCATAACTCAGGCCCCCTCCCGTTTGTCCTCCCCTACCCCCCCCCCCTCAACACATCCCCAGGTGACAGCGAATCAGGTGGTGCTGGGGCCGTGTGTGCTGCTGGTGGTGTTTGCATGGAACATGGCGTGGATGGGCAAGGCCAAGGATATCCCAGACAAGTACCGCAGGGATTTCTTCCCCTCGCTTGTTGATGGTAAGCTATATGTAACTCTTGAGGCGCCTCAGAGTGTTTGCATGGAACATGGCATGGATGGGCAAGGCCAAAGACATCCCAGACAAGTACCGCAGGGTTCTTTTTCCTCGCTTGTCGACGGTAATATATAATACCGTATCACGATGCACTTATCTGGTCTCATGCATTTAATCTGTGGAGGAGCACAGGATTTCCATTACGACCATTAGTAAACCATACTTTATCATCATCGTATTCATGTGAAATCTTTGGTTGCTTTGAAATCGATTCGAAATCTCCACTGTCCTGCCCCATTTTCTCCTTAACTTACACCCGTTGCTTCCCCCACCTCCTCCTACCCCCCCCCTCCTGTCCCCTCCTCATCGCGTCAGGGTGGAAGTTTTGGATTCCGGCTGCAAGCCTCAACTTTGCGTAAGCCCCTCATGCTGCCCCTCTCATATCCCCTCATATCCCTCCCTCCTCACACCAGGGTGGAAGTTTTGGATTCCGGCTGCAAGCCTCAACTTTGCGTAAGCCCCTCGTCCCACCCCAGCACCGTGCGTCATGAACACTCTTGTATCTCTCTTCAATATTTTCCTGTATTTTTCTGTACCCCACATTTAACCCGGATCCCTAAACCCTGCACCTCTAAACTCTGGACCTTAAACCCAAAACCTGAAACCTTGCACCCTGCCTTGCACACAACATGCCACCCCTTGCCGATTTCCCCCACTTCCCTTCACTTCCACACCCCCTCCCCCACTCGCCCTCACCTCCCCCTTCTCTCTCCATCCATCCCCTCTACAGAGTTGTCCCGTTAGAGGCGCGAGTGGCGTTCATGTCAGTGTGTGCCATCTTCTGGAACTTCTATCTCTCCTCCTCCGTCGGCAAGGAATCTGCTGCTCCCAAACTCCCACCAGCATCCCCCCCTGCTAGCGCTGCTGCCCCTGCTGCCCCTGCTGCTGCCGGTGCCTAGAGGTGCCCATGTCACTAAAAGGCATCATCACCTGTCCAGTTACCCTGTAACCCGTTCACTGTGGGCAAGGAAGGCATGTCAGTGTGTGCCATCATCTGGAACTTCTACCTCCCCTCCTCTGTCTGCAAGGAAGGCGCACCTGCTGCTCCCAAACTCCCACCTGCATCCCCCCCTGCTAGCGCTGCTGGCCCTGCTGCCGCTGGTGCTTAGGTGGTGCTTAGATGCTGCTGCTGCTGCTACCCCCGCTGCTACCCCCGCTGTTGCCAGTACCAAGCTGTTGTCCCCCCACCCGCTTTCCCCGCTGCCCCTGGTACCTGAATACAGCAGTGATCTACCACATGCTGTTACCCTGTAACCACTGCAGGTTCTTATTGAGTCAGCTGAATAAGCATGCGATGTTACCGTACCTTGTAACTGGAGTCTCCACAGAGCGACTAGTAACCTCCTTACTGCAATTCCAGTCCAGCCACAGAATGTCATTGCTCGAAAAGCTATCAGGCAGTTTTACAGCTAAGTAACACTTACAGCTAGGTATATGTAGGAAGTTGAAATCTCCAGGTTTATACCATGTAAAACTGGCTGTCAAGCAAATCAACTATAAATGATGATAGCAAAAAGTAACACACTTCTTAAAAAAAAACCTCAGTGATCCACTACCTGCTGATGGAACAATCCTCCAGCATTCATTCAGCGCTGATAACCAATGATTCAAGTGGAAACAGAGCCTGCCTGTAAACCAAATGAACCGTTTCCTAAAAAAGGGTAATAGTCCTGTGAGTGAGCCTGTTTTTAGGCAAAAATATGTGAGCCTGTCAATCAACAAAAGCCTGTCGGCGTATCTGTCATCTGACAAGGTACCGGCACTGTTGCTGGAGCCACGTGCCTCCTCCCAATTGCTCCACCATCACCTCGATCTGGTCGTTGTTCTCTATGCCCAGCTGTTGGTGCAGAAATGCAAATGGGGGAAGAAATGTCAGATATTGGTGTGCAGCAGTGACATGGGATGTGATGTGACTTTTAAGTGAAATCAGAGGTCGGACCAGGTGTAGGCGTGTGGCAGTGGCATGCAATAAGAATCTCGAGTCGGCTCAAGTGTCAGATCAGGTGTTTGTTTGGTGCAGTGGCATGTGATGTGTGAGGATGGGGATGGTGGTACCCGAAGCTGCAAATTCCCCCCACTACTAGGTGACACTGAAAGAAACGCAGAATGGGCTGCAACGAAACCTGACCCCACAATTCGGAGGGAAACAGAAAAGGGAAAATAAGGGTTGGAGAGAGTGTTGTGTGCTGCAACAGCCCGTACCTCAGCAGGCGTGTTGTCCCCCAGCACTCGACCACTGCACGATGCAATGAGTGTGCGTGAACACAAGAGGGGAATGGAGGGGAAGAGGGGGAAAGCAAGGAAACGGAAGGAAAGGAGTTAGATGGAGGGACGGGGAGGATACGGAAGGGGTGGTGATGGAAGTGGGGAAGGGGAAGGGAAGGGAAAGCCAGTGCAGGGAAGGGAAGGAAACGGGAAAGGGAGGGCGGGAGCGAAGGGGGTCAAAACTATCGATTACATCATGATGCAAGTGAAGCTTAACGGGAACCAAATGATAGGCCCGCAATGACTTCCGTCTCCGTTTCAATTCAAACCAATCCCATAGCACCAACCCTTCCCACGCACCACGCAACGATGGAATCGCTATAAGATAAGGTCCCCATTCACCCGTGGTACAGGGGGCGGCACTCACCCGTGGTATAGGAACCTCATGGTATCTAATTTGAACCCTTTTCTATCGCTGTACGCCTGAAATAACTGCAGTAAGAGAGGGGGCAGGGGGGACGGGGAGAGCGGTCGGAAGGAAAATGTTATGCCATGATTGTAAAGACTTAACAGTCGCAATCCCAAGAACAAGTGGAGCGGTGTGGTCGAGCGTAATGTGAGGGTCGTATAGCTCAAGATAATCCCCCGTCGTGCATTTTGGCTCCTGGAGTTGCTACAAGGTTCTGGACTGCATGGGAAAAACGACCGTGGTTACTTGTCGTCCTTAAACCTTTCACACATTATTAACTTGCTGGGTATTGTTTGCTTTATCGCTTAATCATTTTAGGGGCCACGTTGAATTGGCCACCCTTACCTCGCTGAACTTAAGACGTCTTAAAACTGGATTGTGAGACGTCTCGAAACGTGATCTTCGTTTTTCACTTTGTAATTTCATGAAGCTTATGCACTTGGACTACCCTTACCTTGCTGAACTTGGTTTTCGGCTTTACTTTGAACGATACTTCTGTTCCGTCCTGTGGGACCAGCAGGGAGGAAGTCGGAGAGAAGGAAAACAAAACGAGAGTGTTACAGTGGGAACGAACAATCGACGTGTCTTCGAGAGGGAAAAAGGTAGAAGAAAGAAAGGCATGCTAGGTCGGCTAATGGACGGCTATTGATGCACGCTGGCATTCGCGGCGGCAAGTTCTAGGGTGCGCGAACCGTTGCTGGCTTTTTCAATTGTATAAGATAATGCAAGTTTATAGAAACCTCGTGAGCCAAACTCACCTGGGCGACAACTTTGAGGGTGATTGCTTCCACTTTCGCTTGCTTGCCTTCCGCCATTGGATCGCCGATCAGCGTAGTAGATGTCACACGAGGAAAGCGACAGGACGGCAAATGCGGGCGTTGGGTTTCACGAACAGTTTTGGTCCGCCTGCGTTAGGGACGGGTGTAACCTCTTCTCGTTGTATTACTCGTCCGAGGCACGGATGAATCGCCGACTCTGCGAAGGATAGTGACTGAACGGCGCGTCTAGATACGTGTAGGAGGATAAAAACGAAGCCGGGGTTTCGAGTTAAGGTACGAGGTTGGTTCCAGTCTTAGACTAAGGCGAGGCGAGGAAGTGGGACAAACTGCTAAGCTATCAGATGCGGTGCGATGCGGAGAGGCAACAGACAAATCAGGAAAGCCAACGATAACATCAATCAAACCAGCAAAATGATTTCAAACGGAGCTTTGGGTCAGAATTTGAAGACTCAAAATCAGAGTTCATCCTCGCTTCTGTCGCGCTCGTTCATGCTCGTTATCAATACACGCAGTTCTCATGCTATCGTGAATTGATAATACTTGACATCCTTCTTCCACGAAATATATAAATGCTTTTTTGGCCCACTTCCACGTCATGCCACGTCTGGACCCAACAAACCGACCCAGCCAATCAGGAAGCACCCTCTTCCCGCTCGCCAGGGCCAGTCCGACAAAGCGCGCCTGGTAGAAAAACACTCCGCGTAGACCGCACACGCGCACTCAACCTTGCGGAACTGGGGGATCCTCCGCTTCGGCATTACCACGGTAATCCCTTGTTTCAGAACGGTTGAGTAGGGTTGAGAGAATGTAATACATTTTAGGGTTCCGGTTGCACAACCTAGAAATTCCCACCGAAAAGCTTCGAAGTTAGTCCCGCAGGCGTCGCAGCTCATTTCACTGGTTTACCGCACTAGTCGGCCGTTACGAGTTACCGGTTGACCGTCTTCGTCTCCGCTTCTTCATTTTCCGCCGTCACCTTCCGCGTAACTCTCACCAACCGAAGCCACCATCATTCACCAAACCACATCCCATTTCATCAATATCCAAACAGTTACCCCTCCTTTTGTCACATCTCGTTTTAGTCACGACTCGCTATCATCACCGAGCATGGCGTCAGGCTACACGCCGTGGTGGATGAAGAAGGGCGGCGAGGGCGAGGCGAAGAGCTGTCCCACAGTGAACCGCCTTTTGGATCTCAGCCAGGGCCGCGAGACGCCGCTGCCGCGCTGGACTAAAGCGGATATCGAGGCGTTCGCTAAGGAGGACCCCGTTCACGGCAACCAGGTGCGGTTGACCGCAGGCAGGAGCGGTCACTAGAAAGGAAAAAGAGAGAGTCGTTACGTTTGCAAGTGCGCCGTGACTAGATCCGATACGCCCTCAGCAGCTAGTTGGTGCTCCAGTTCGCTCCTAATCTCCCGCATCCTTCTTTATCCCCGACCCGCGCTCCTCCCGCACGTTCCCCACACACGCTCCCCCCACACGCTTCCGCCACACGCTCCCCCCACACGCTCCCCCCCGCGCAGGTGCTGCTGTCGCGCCAGGCGTCGCTGATGGCGGCTGGCGGAGCGGCAGTGGGGGGACTTGCGCTAGCAGCGTACAGCTACCGGTACTCGCGGAGCGCTGGGGGTGAGTGAAGCAGGGGGGGGGAGGGGGGGGGGGGGGGCGGGGTGGGTGGGGGTGGGGTTGGAGAGGAGGGCAGAGCGGTTTAGGGGCTCAAGAGTTGTCTCATCACAGTGGGGGCCCTGACGCTCGCAGTGTACAACTACCTTGGTGTTACGTTTGAGAATTCTCAAAAGCGTACAGCTACCGGTACTCGCAGAGCGCTGGGGATGAGTGGGGGAGGAGGGATGGGGGGAAGGTGGGGAGGGAAGGTGGGTGGTCTGTGGAGAGAAGGCGTGTGTGCTTCCATGGAGTCTTAAGTGGGGATTCTGCGAGTATTCATGGACCTGGATGGAAGCCGAATGATTCATTCAGGAGAGGAGATGGTAACACGTGAAGTATGGAGATGAGACTGGCGTTTTGAAGTCACACATCCCTTCTCAATCTCTCACCAGCCCAGCATCAGTACGCCTTTCCTTGCCTCCCCCTCACACGCACCCCAGGTGCTTTCCTGACGCTCGTGGTGGGAGCGGTGACGAGCTGGGCGGTGACAGAGGAGACAGCAATGCACCTCTTGTTCTTGTCTCCCCCCCTCATGCACACCACACCCCAGGTGCTTTCCTGGCGCTGGTGGTGGGAGCGGTGACGAGCTGGGCGGTGACAGAGGAGGTGGCCAACATAGGGCTGGGGCTGTATAAGTTCAGTTCCATGGACGCCAATTTCAAGTTCATTGATTGGTGGGCTGCCAGGCACCCTGAAGTCCCTGCAGCTGATGTCACCACCGCTTGAAGTTGCCATCAAGGATTGAACTCCAGCACTGTGACACCGGCAAGTGAACGTAATAGTGTACTTGCTGAACGTGACAGTACATGCTGTCTATACATTGTATTGTAGGTGCCATGTACTGTAGTTGAGGTCGACAACTTGCTTGTCATTTGTGTAGATACTTGAATCTCCATTCCGCAACTCATGGGTGGAGGAGATTGTGAATGTGTTTTGTCAAGTTGTTGAGAGTTAACTCTAGTAGCTATTTGCTCAGGTGTCAATCACAGTTATTCCCATTCAGCGCCTTGTTCTTTCCGTTATTGTAAGAGTACCAGCCAACGCATGCATGTATTGCGAATGTATTCTTCCTACCGCTTAGACGGTATATTTAGCCAAACAACCACTCTATTGCATGAAGATGCGCAGTGCCTTGTTGTTGCGCTCGTCACTGTACTCGTACCCCAGAGCATCATTAACAGGTGAGGTGACTGTCCCCACATCCCCTCTATTGCATGAAGATGCGCAGTGCTTTGTTGTTGCGCTCATCACTGTACTCGTATCCTAGCGCGTCCGCCACCGCTCTGAACTCCGCCTCCTCGTGAGGCATCACCTGCAACCCCACCAGCACATGTGCGATCATCTCCCCCTGCAGTTGAATAGAGGGGAGGGGAACACAGGAAACACGAGGAAGCAGATGCATCGTCAGTCAGTGCTGCTCTCTGCTCTGAACTCTGCCTCCTCGTGAGGCATCACCTGCAACCCCACCAGCACGTGCGCGATCATCTCCCCCTGGAGTGACGCGAGGGGGGAAACACAGGAAGCATGGGGAAACAGAGGCACCATTAGTCAGCTGCTCTCTGGCTTGCCTCCTCGTGAGGCATCACCTGCAACCCCACCAGCACATGTGCAATCATCTCCCCCTGCAGATGTAAAGGAAGGGACACGGCAAGGGGAAACACAGGGACAAGAAAGCAGAGAAGGCATGTCATTAGTCAGCTCAGCTCAGCTCTGCTCAGCTCTGCTCAGCTCTGCTCTGCTCTGCTGGAAGGCACACAATTTCACTGCTCAGACCCAGCCACTAATTGCTGGCCAGAATACTCAAAGACAGCTCAGCTCAAATTAAGACACTCACGGTGCGGCGGTAGTGGAACAGAGTGATGTTCCATCGCGGGCTGATCTGGTCCAGGAACTTGACGAGCGCGCCGGGCCGCTCCGGGAAGACGAAGCGGAAGAGAATCTCATTGGGGAGGGACGAGCGCCCCCCCACGAGGTGGCGCAGATGGTCCTTGGCGAGGTCGTTGTCTGTCATGTCCACTGTTGGCATGTCCCCCCCTTCTAGCCGTGTGATCATGGCTTCTAGGTCTTCCTCTGTGTGCACTCCCACACTGCAAGGGGACGGAGGGGGAAGGGGAAAAGAGTGGGAAGGAGGTGGCGAAGATGGTCCTTGGCCAGATCGTTGTCCGTCATGTCCACTGTCGGCATGTCCCCTGCTTCGAGGCGGGTGATCATGGCCACTAGGTCCTCCTCTGTGTGCACTCCAACGCTGCAAGGGGGATTAGGGGGAGAGAACGAGAGGAAGCAGCACTTGAGAGGGGGGAGGCAGCAATGGATGATGGAGCGAGGTGACTGCTTCTGAGAGGCAGGAAGGGACGAGCGCCCGCCCACGAGGTGGCGCAGATGGTCCTTGGCAAGATCGTTGTCCGTCATGTCCACTGTCGGCATATCTCCCGTGTCGAGGCGGGTGATCACTGCAAGGGGGAAGAAAGCAGAAGGGGGGTGGGGAGGGGGAGAGCGCAGATGGTCCTTGGCGAGATCGTTGTCTGTCATGTCCACTGTCGGCATGTCCCCTCCCTCCAATCGGCCGATCATAGCCTGCAGGTCCTCGTCTGTGTGCACGCCCACGCTGATATCGGGAGGAGAGCAAGGGAAAGAGAGGAAAGAGAGGAAAGAGAGGAAAGAGAGGAAAGAGAGGAAAGAGAGGAAAGAGAGGACCTAGTTGGGGAAAGAGAGGAAAGAGAGGAAAGAGAGGAAAGAGAGGACCTCGTTGGGGAAAGAGGGAGGGACGAGCGCCCGCCCACGAGGTGGCGCAGATGGTCCTTGGCCAGATCGTTGTCTGTCATGTCAACGGTTGGCATGCTGCCATCCTCCAGACGAAGTATCATTGCTTCTAGGTCTTCCTCTGTGTGCACGCCCACACTGTACAAGGGGAGTGAGAGAAGGGGGTGCGGAGGAGAATTCGGGGGGAAAAAGAGAGTAAGAATCGGTTGAGACACACAAATTGAGGGACGAGCGTCCGCCCACGAGGTGGCGCAGATGGTCCTTGGCCAGATCGTTGTCTGTCATGTCCACTGTCGGCATGCTGCCTGCCTCTAGGCGGGTGATCATAGCCTGCAGGTCCTCGTCCGTGTGCACGCCCACACTGCAATGGGAAAAACCAAGAGAAGGGAGTGAGGTGGCGCAGATGGTCCTTGGCCAGATCGTTGTCTGTCATGTCCACTGTCGGCATATCCCCTGCTTCTAGCCGTGTGATCATGGCTTGTGGGTCCTAGTATGTGTACAGCTCAACCCTTTATCAGCTCACCGCAGCACCCTACCACACCCCACCACACCCTACCACAACCCACGACACCCCACCACACCCTACCATGGGCACCATGCACGCACCTGTAGAGCACGTGGGCAGCATCAGTGGAGCAGAAGCGGTACTTGAACTCTGTGATGTTCATGCCCCAACCTCACAACCCACCTGTAAACCACATCCCTCTATCTACCATCACACCCCAGCACACCCCAGTGCACCCCAGCACACCCCAGAGCACCCCAGTGCACCCCAGTGCACCCCAGCGCACCCCAGTGCACCCCAGCACACCCCAGTGCACCCCAGCACACCCCAGTGCACCCCAGCACACCCCAGTGCACCCCAGCACACCCCAGTGCACCCCAGCACACCCCAGTGCACCCCAGCACACCCCAGTGCACCCCAGCACACCCCAGTGCACCCCAGCACACCCCAGTGCACCCCAGCACACCCCAGTGCACCCCAGGACACCCCAGTGTACCCCAGCACACCCCAGTGCACCCCAGCACACCCCAGTGCACCCCTGCACACCCCAGTGCACCCCAGCACACCCCAGTGCACCCCAGCACACCCCAGTGCACCCCAGCACACCCCAGTGCACCCCAGCACACCGCAGTGCACCCCAGCACACCCCAGTGCACCCCAGCACACCCCAGTGCACCCCAGCACACCCCAGTGCACCCCAGCACACCCCAGTGCACCCCAGCACACCCCAGTGCACCCCAGCACACCCCAGTGCACCCCAGCACACCCCAGTGCACCCCAGCACACCCCAGTGCACCCCAGCACACCCCAGTGCACCCCAGCACACCCCAGTGCACCCCAGCACACCCAACCACATTGTACCGTGGGCACCATGCTCGCACCTGTAGAGCACGTGGGCAGCATCAGTGGAGCAGAAGCGATACTTGAACTCCGTGATGTTCATGCCCCAACCTCACAACCCACCTGTAAACCACATCCCTCTATCTACCATCACACCCCAGCACACCCCAGAGCACCCCAGCACACCCAACCACATTGTACCATGGGCACAATGCACGCACCTGTAGAGCACGTGAGCAGCATCAGTGGAGCAGAAGCGATACTTGAACTCCGTGATGTTCATGCCAGGTCCCACCTGCACGGGCCATTCCAATGGGGGAGGTAGACAGGGAAACCACGGCGATGAGAGAAACGATTAGCCATCTGAGCAGAAGCGGTACTTGAACTCTGTGATGTTCATGCCGGGACCCACCTGCACGGGCCATGCCAATGGGGGATGGATGGTAGGCAGGGAAACCAAGGGCGATTGGAAAAACAGCTAGTCGTCTGCTCAGAAGCGGTACTAGAACTCTGTGATGTGAATGCCTGGACCCACCTGCGGGGTGGGGTGACGGTATGTCGGGAAACCATGGGTGATGGCAGGAAAAGGAAGAGAAAAATGAGAAGTAGAATGATTAGCCATCTGTTCCGAAGCAGTACCGAACTCTGTGATGTTCATGCCTGGTCCCACCTGCGGGGAACACAGTGGTGTAGCGAGGAGAACCAGGGGTTACAAGACAGATATCATGGGTTCAACGTTCACATTCTCCCGAATCTGTTTTTTTGAGAATTCTAAAAAAAACAGAACCAGGGGTTACAAGATACTACGGGTTCAAAGATCACATTTCGACACTCGCCACCGCCACCAACCCCTCGCCCTTCAGCCCTTACTGCCTGCAATACGCCTTCGCCCCTCACCACTCTCCCCAAACCCAACCCATTTCACTCACCAGCTTCGCAAGCTGCTTGAACGCCCCTGCCAGCGCCAGCGCCCCCGCAGGCTCTCCTCACCACTCTCTCACCACTCTCCACTCCCCTCAACCACTCACCAGCTTGGCAAACTGCTTGAAAGCCCCGGGAATCTCAGGCAGTGTCGTCGCCAACACCGCCTCTCGCCTGGCCCCCAGATCTGCCAGTTCCGAAACCAGCCGGAGGCGGTCAAAGTTCATGTTAGCACCACTAGCCACCGCCACCACGCCCTCCAACTCACCAATTTTGCAAACTGCTTGAAAGCGCCTGGGATTTCAGGCAGAGTAGTCGCCAACACAGCCTCCCTCCTCGCCCCCAAGTCCGCCAGCTCTGACACGAGCCGGAGGCGGTCAAAGTTCATGTTGGCGCCACTCGCCACCGCCACCACGCCCTCACCCTTCAGCCCGTACTGCCGGCAATACGCCTTCGTCCCTGCCAGCGCCAGCGCCCACCCCCCCTCTCATCACCACTCTCACCACTCTCACCACTCTCCACCCCTCTCAACCCACTCACCAGCTTGGCAAACTGCTTGAACGCCCTCGGAATCTCAGGCAGCGTTGTCGCCAACACGGCTTCCCTCCTGGCTCCCAACCCAAGTCTGCCAGCTCAGACACGAGCCGGAGGCGGTCAAAGTTCATGTTGGCGCCGCTGGCCACCGCCGCCACGCCCTCGCCCTTCAACTCACCAATTTTGCAAACTGCTTGAAAGCGCCTGGGATTTCAGGCAGCGTCGTTGCTAGGACCGCCTCCCTCCTCGCGCCCAAGTCTGCTAACTCCGAAACCAGCCTCAGCCGGTCAAAGTTCATGTTGGCGCCGCTGGCCACGGCCACCACGCCCTCGCCCTTGAGCCCGTACTGCCGGCAATACGCCTTCGCCCCCGCCAGCGCCAGCGCCCCTGCAGGCTCCAGGATGCTGCGCGTGTCCTCAAACATGTCTTTGATGGCGGCGCAGATCTCGTCTCGCGAAACGAGGACTATGCCGTCCACGAGTTGCTGGGAAAGGCGGAAGGTTTCCTCCCCCACTGTTCGCACTGCAACGCCATCGGCAAAGGTGCCACACGATGAGAGCTCCACTCGGCTGGGGGTGGGGGAAGGGCAGGGGCGAGGGGAAGGAGTGTTGGGGCAACCGCACTGCCAATGAGCCAGCGCCCCCGCCGGTTCCAGGATGCTGCGCGTGTCCTCGAACATGTCTTTGATGGCGGCACAGATCTCGTCTCGCGAAACGAGGACAATGCCGTCCACGAGCTGCTGGGAGAGGCGGAATGTCTCCTCCCCCACCTGCCGCACCGCCACGCCATCAGCGAATGTGCCGCAGGAAGACAGCTCCACTCGACTGGAGGGAGGGGACAGGGCACGGGGGAGGGGAGGGGGTGTTGGGGCAACCGCACTGAAAATGAGCCAGCGCCCCCGCCGGTTCCAGGATGCTGCGCGTGTCCTTGTACATGTCTTTGATGGCGGCACAGATCTCATCCCGAGACACAAGGACCACACCGTCCACCAGCTGCTGGCACAGACGGAACGTCTCCTCCCCCACCTGCCGCACTGCCACACCATCCGCAAACGTGCCACAGGAAGACAGCTCCACACGGCTGGGGTGATGGGGGAAGTGGGGAAGGGAGGAAGAGGGAGTGAGTCAACTTGAGAGACGAGGACTATGCCGTCCACGAGCTCCTGGGAGAGGCGGAAGGTCTCCTCCCCCACCGACCTCACTGCCACGCCATCCGCGAATGTGCCACAGGATGACAGCTCCATACGGCTGGGGATTGCCCAAGGGGGAGAGGAAGGGAGGGGGGCATGTGTACAGTCTTGCTGCGCGTGTCCTCGAACATGTCTTTTATTGCAGCACAGATCTCATCCCGAGAGACGAGGACTATGCCGTCCACGAGCTGCTGGGAGAGGTGAAACGTCTCTGCTGGGAGAGGCGAGGCGGAAGGTCTCCTCCCCCACCGACCTCACTGCCACTCCGTCTGCAAAGGTACCACAGGCTGACACCTCCACTCGGCTGGGGATTGCCCAAGGGGGAGAGGAAGGGAGGGGGGCATGTGTTCAGTCTTGCTGCGTATATCCTCGAACATGTCTTTAATTGCAGCACAGATCTCACCCCCCCGACCTCACTGCCACTCCGTCTGCAAAGGTACCACAGGCTGACACCTCCACTCGGTGGAAAGGGGGTGATGGGGGGAGTGGGCGTTGGGAAAGGTGGGGAAGGGGTGATGGGGGGAGTGGGCGTTGGGGGAGGTAGGGAAGGGGAAGAAGAGGGACAGGTGGGGTGTGGTTGGCGAGAGGTGGGGTGTGGTTGGCGAGAGGTGGGGTGTGGTTGGCGAGAGGTGGGGTGTGGTTGGCGAGAGGTGGGGTGTGGTTGGGAGAGCTCTTACCGGCCGTGGTAGAGAGAGAGTGCCATGGCGTTGGCATCAGCAGGCTCCACCCCAATCACTCGCACCTGGTGGGCATGCACAGGAGGGGGGTGGTGACGAGGGGAGGGAATGAGAGGGGAGATAGGGGACGAAAAGGACAAATAAAGATGCTGAGAATAACATTTGGGATGAACAAAATACGGCACAATGCCCGCAATCTGCTGACAGCCTCTAACCACACTTCACGACACCCCCTGACAGCTCACCGCAGCATCCTACACCATCCCACCTCATTCGACCGCATCCCATCGCATCACACCGCGTTTCACCGCATTCCATCGCACTCACCTCTGGCTGCAGCGCCTTGATGTAAGCAGCAATCCCGGCAATCAGCCCACCACCCCCCACCGGCACAAACACCGCGTGCAGACTCGAGGGGTCCATGTGGCACAGCCCCTCGCCCTCCCCTGCTGCCCTTTCACAGCATCCTACCGCATCCCACCGCATCCCACCGCATCCCACCGCATCCCACCGCATCCCACCGCATCCCATGGCATCCCACCTAATCCCAGCAATGCGTTGCGCCACACCTTACTGTATCCCACCGCACGCACCTCTGGCTGCAGCGCCTTGATGTAAGCAGCAATCCCGGCAATGAGCCCGCCACCCCCCACCGGCACAAACACCGCGTGCAGACTCGAAGGGTCCATGGGACACAGACCCTCGCCCTCCCCTGCTGCATTCTCACCAGAGTTCACCACATCACACCGCATCCCATTGCAATCCACCACTATCAAACTGCATCGAATCGCATTCTACCACAATCGACCACTTTCCACCACTCTTACCTCTGGCTGAAGCGCCTTGATGTAAGCAGCGATGCCAGCAATAAGCCCACCACCCCCCACCGGCACAAACACCGCGTGCAGACTCGAGGGGTCCATGTGGCACAGCCCCTCGCCCTCCCCTGCTGCTGCTAGTGCTGACTGCGACAGCATTGCTGATAGTGACGATGGCAGGTTGTTCACAGGGGTTGGGGGAGGAGGGAAGAAGGGAGAGGAGTGGGAGGTAGCAGCCAGATCTGCTGTTTGGGATAGCTGCTGCTGCTGCTGCTCGGGAGATTCGCTGGATAGTAGGGATGCTGCTGCTGCTGATGATAATGCTGATAATGATGATGATGGTGGGGAGGAGGAGGAAGACAATGAAGCTGCTGCTGTGGCTCCCGCTGTTGCCGCTGAGCCATTCACAGCCCCATTCGCGCTGCCGTTGCTCCCATGCCCCTCCCGCTCATCTTCTGAGGAAGAGTCCAAAAACCGCCACTGGCCGGCGCCGCCCCCGCAGCCGCCCGTGCGGTCACAGGTACTCCACTGGCGGAGAATCTCCATGCCCACTGTGCCCTGCCCCGCTATCACCAACTCATGGTCGAACGGGGGGATGAACACGCGGCCCTCCTCCTCTGCCCGTTTCTTGGCGTACGCCTGCAAGCCCAAGAGGAGGGGAAGGGGGAGTAAGAGGGTGAGAGGGCCAGGGCAGGGCGGCACACGAGCTCCACTGGCAAAAAGGAGGGTCTCCATGCCCACCGTGCCCTGCCCCGCTATCACCAACTCATGGTCGAATGGCTCGCTACTGCTCAGTAGAAGAGGGACGCGTCTTCTACTGCTCGCTTCTTGGCGTAGGCCATTTGGCAAGGGAGGAAGTGAAGGGCGGGGGAGATAGATAGGGAAAGAGGGAGAACGATAAAGCAACGAGGGAATAAGATGGGTGAGTAAGATGGAGAGTGAACAGCAGGAGCTCCACCAACGGAACAGAGCATCTCCATGCCCTCTGTGCCCTGCCCTACTGACCTGTGACTCCCAGGTGAGTTGGGACACAGTGCATCAGCCAACTCACAGACACAGTGCATCACCTCACCTGTTTTGAGTCGACTCAAAACACGACTCACAGACACAGTGCATCACCTCACCTGCGTCTAACCTGCCTCTATAAAGCTGCCTCTTCACCAGCCCCACCCGCCTCTAAATCACCTGCGTCTCACTTTTGAGTCGACTCAAAAGTCACCTCTTTGAGTCGACTCAAAAGTCACCTCACCTGCGTCTCACCTGCCTCTATAATGCTGCCTCTTCACCAGCCCCACCCGCCTCTTAATCACCTGCGTCTCAGTCCCAACAACACTCACAGCCCCATCTCACTCGCCTGAGTCTCATCGTATGAGTCCCCCAACAGCACCACCTCAGCTCCCAGCCGCTGCACTGAGCATCCACCACTCACATCCGAACTGACCTGTGACTCCAACCACCACACACACAAAGCACCGCCTCACCTGCCGTCTCATCTCTCTCACTCGTGGTTCACACGCCTCTCACTACCTCTCACTGCCTCACCTGAGTCTCATCGTATGAGTCCCCCACCAGCACCACCTCCGCCCCCAGCCGCTGCACTGCCCATCCATGAGTCACAAATCGCCGCCCTTCCACTCCTCTCACTGGCCTCCAACGTGACATGTAAAGCTCCACCTCCCACACCATGCCCTCACTGCACATGCCTCACCTGCGTCTCATCGTATGAGTCCCCCACCAGCACCACCTCCGCCCCCAGCCGCTGCACTGCTCGCCCAGCCCACCCAGCCCCCCCATGCACACCCCACCCGCTCCCTCGCCCCCAGCCGCTGCACAACCCAAACCCCCACACCAATGCCTCACCTGAGTCTCATCGTATGAGTCCCCCACCAGCACCACCTCCGCCCCTAGCCGCTGCACTGCTCGCCCAGCCCACCCAGCCCCCCCATGCACACCCCACCCGCTCCCTCGCCCCCAGCCGCTGCACAACCCAAACCCCCACACCAATGCCTCACCTGAGTCTCATCGTATGAGTCCCCCACCAGCACCACCTCCGCCCCTAGCCGCTGCACTGCTCGCCCAGCCCACCCAGCCCCCCCATGCACACCCCACCCGCTCCCTCGCCCCCAGCCGCTGCACAACCCAAACCCCCACACCAATGCCTCACCTGAGTCTCATCGTATGAGTCCCCCACCAGCACCACCTCCGCCCCTAGCCGCTGCACTGCTCGCCCAGCCCACCCAGCCCCCCCATGCACACCCCACCCGCTCCCTCGCCCCCAGCCGCTGCACAACCCAAACCCCCACACCAATGCCTCACCTGAGTCTCATCGTATGAGTCCCCCACCAGCACCACCTCCGCCCCTAGCCGCTGCACTGCGCGCCACTTGATCTCTGGGGTCGTCACTGGCATCGCTATAATGGCACTGCGCACAGTCACACACGTGGAGTGATAAGTGCCACAAACATAATACATGCATGCAGTGCAGTGACAGGAGCACGAATAGGGCCACAAGCGTACAGTCACGCAACCACACGAAAACTAGCGAAATCGCATGAAAGCAGGGTCTGGATGCGAAGCGTCTCACTCCATGCACGAATACAGTCACATGCATACAGGCACACCCGCCTCAATAACAACATACATCTCACCTGCAGTGCAGTCGGGAGGCGGAGAGCGCGACCCCCTGTGGACGAGCAGATGAAGCCCTTGACTCATTCCCTGCACAACCCCCTGTGCGTTTCAAGACACCTCAATAACAACATACATCTCACCTGCAGTGCAGTCTGGAAGCAGAGAGCGCCACTCCCTGCGCGTGGTTGCCTGCGGACGAGCAGATGACGCCCTTGGCGAGCTGCCGTTGCGAGAGGTGCGCCATCATGTTGTAGGCCCCTCGCAGCTTGAACGAAAACACCTGGCGGGCACGATTGGGAAGGTGAATTTGGAAGTTTTCATAAACAAGCTGCAAAATGAAAGGCTTCCCTCGCCTGCAGCTGCCGCGGCGTCAGGTGCGCCATCATGTTGTAGGCTCCTCGCAGCTTGAACGAGAACACCTGCGGGGAGGTCAGGAGCGGAGAGAAAGGGAGGGATGGGACGAGCGATGAGAGCGAAGAAGGGATATTCTAGACGCCTAGAGCAGTAGCGACTGAGTGTTTGAGCGAACCTACTGGCTGTGTGTCCTACCGCTTCAGAAACACCCGGTTGCCTCAGCGTCGCTCAGCGTCAGAGCGTACTCTCTCTAATCAGACTTTAAACAATCTAAAAACTGAGTGTGTAAGCCGACCTACCGGCTGCGTGTCTTCCCGCTTCAAAAACACCCGGTTGCCGATCCTCTCGCTCAGCTTTGGTGCGAACTCCAGCGCGCTCTCGATCGCCACGTCATACACCCGAGATCTCAGGATCTGCCTCAGATACGCGTCCTTATCTACGGCCACGTCAGCCGCCACGTGTCCCTTGGAATCCACTGGCAAAGGGTTGTTATCCCCGAAACCCCCCAAGAACCCCGACGGGTACGTCAGGGACTCGGGGGGAACTTTCATCAGCGGAGGCGGCTGCGCCTGTTGCGCCGGGTGCTCCTGAAGCTGCGCCGCTAGCTCTGCGCCGCTGGGAAGCGCGGCGCGGTCAGCGGTTTCGACGGCAGTGGCGACAGCGCGCGCAACGGCCGCTGCGCGCGGGGAGTCGCCGTCTAGTGTCGAGGCGGCGGTGGCGGCTTCCGCTGCGGTTTCGGGGAGGATGGCGCACGAGGGGGGAGGGGGGGACTTGCCGACGTCGGGTCGCTTGCTGTGACGAGCGAAGACGCGATATCGTGTCCGTTGATTAGAGTTAAGGAGCGATCCGGACCGACCAAAGCAGGAGCCGTTTGGAAGATTCGGAGACATTCCGCTGCTGGATGGTAAGGATGCGGCTAGGAAGCTTCGTGAGGGAAAACACGGAACGACTTGCCGGTCGCTGGGTACTGCGAGGGGAGAGGAAGAATCGCTAGCAGTGGTAACTACAAGTCGCTCGTTTCGCACAGCTCTGTTGCGAGTGGCTGCGAGGGACCGTTTTAGCGGGATTCCGTGCCGAAACGAATCGACGAAACGCATGCTTTTGCGAGAGGGGAAGCCGAGGCATGCGACAGCGTTAGCACCACCAGAAAACGACTGCGAACCCGCCGCCGGCGAGTCAGATTTACTCTCTGCCACTTGCCCGAGCTGCACATGCACGCGAATAGCGGACGCCATACTGCAAAACCCAATAAAGATATAAGCTTTCGGCGACTGGTGCACGTGGATGCGCGCGCCGCCACAGGGAACACAGCGGCCGTCGACGCTCAAAGTCTCGAGCAACGGAGTCGCTCGCAACGGAAGCTACTAGCTGTTGCTTGCAGACAACAAGAAGAGCTCTTGGACAACTCGAAATGGGTTGCGCGTGATGCAGCAGTGACTAATATAAAACAGTCGCGGAGCAGCACGCGCGCGCGGTGATGTCAACATGACTTGTTTGCGCGCGCAGTGATGAGAACATGACATGGTTGCGCGCGCGAGACTCTCTGGGGAAAGTAGTGCAGCCAGGGTACGGTAGGGCAGAGGGGGATACCCATGAATGACCCTCGATTTTGCCTGGGGGGAGCGGGAAGGGTGATCGGGTGTGTCTGCGCCCGACAGCTTGTCAGCATGCTCAAGTTGGTTTTGATTTGCGGAAGTTGTTTATGGTTGTGGCGGATTGGCTGTTGTTGCGCGAAGAAATGCGCCGCGCGCGGTATCAGGAGGAAATCCACTGTTGTCCGTGACAATCCCGAAGTGCGGGAGTACAGGTGTGGGCGGAGGGAAGGAATGTTTTGTGATGAGGCTTGTACGCGATACAAAACAAATGTAGATTGGTACAACTTTTCCATGATGCGGCAATTTCGTAGACTAAGCATCCTGTGCATTTGCTGCTAGGTGCCAACACCATCCCTAGCTTATGTTGTACTTTATGTACACCTAATAACTATTTACATGGATGAGCTTCCACATCGGTTTGGAGAATCTGAAGAAGGTGAGTCCGGATAACCCACAACTCCACAAACAGACACAAAAGCCTCCCAACACCAAGAGCCAACCCCACTGGAAGTGAGGTCAGTGCCGAAAGTGCAACCATCCCAAAACTGTGTAATGGAGGTTGACTTTGCATATACGCATGTGAGAATGAAGTGGGGAAAAAGTGTAGATGGTGTCGAATGAAGAGCCAGAGAGGGAGGAAGTGCAGACCGGCGATTGCCATGACTCCGACAGGGCTGTGATTAGCCAGGAAGGAAGGGGGACAAGTGGGGAAAGGGGAGGAGACATAGCAAGGGGCCATGAGAGGGAGAGGTATTGGCCAGGCTCTGAAGAAAGAAAGAGAGTGAAAAGGTGATTGGGCAGTATTGGTGATGATGTGAGGCGGGGCGGCAACTCCATAACCACGCTAGAAACCCATGACTCTGCTCATTCCACAAGCACTGTAGTACACGTCACTGCACAGCGCCAAGCCACGTACGTTTTGAAGCCATTCTGCATGACCAGGGAGACCAGCAGTGGACTGTCGTTCTTGCCACCCCACACCGCCTTGATAACCATGCCAGCCTAGAGCCTATGCTACAGCCCACAGCACAGTCCATGTCACGTACGTTTTGAAGCCATTCCGCATGACCAGGGAGACCAGCAGTGGACTGTCGTTCTTGCCACCCCACACTTCCTTCCAGTTGCCCCTCTCCTTTGCCTGCTCCTTAGAACCTTCCACTACATCTTTCCCTTGCTCTTGCCTTGCCACTCCACCCCCTCCCTTCGCCCCTTCTGCAACTGCTGTGGTGTCGTTGCCACGAGCATGTGTTGCACTTTCACTGCCACTAGCACTGCCACTGCCACTGCCAGTGCCACTGCCACTGCCACTGCCAAGCGTGCTGGCATGGGAGCAGGTGAATGTGAGCCATTCCACACACGGGATAAGGATGGCAGCTGCTTGCAGCATCCGCGCACTATTCATGCCTAACAGAGTCCCTCCAGCACTGTTCATGCCGAGTCTGACACTGTTCATGGTCAGCATGGCACTGTTCATGGCATCTGCCCACATGGCGGTGCGCAGTGCGTTATCTACAGCAACGTCCAGGATCGCACCGAAGGCCGACACCTGGCGCAGGCGGCGAGCCACGATGCCATCCACACCGTCCAATGCCATGTTGAGCAGATAGAGCAGTGCACACAGCAGCACAGGCATGGCATGGGTTGCAAGGGAGTAAGTGTATGCATTGGGGTAAGCGGATGCACGTGCATGAGCTGTAGGGGAGGAGGGTGGGGAGAGGGATGGGAAGTTGGTGGGGTGAGGTGATGAGAGGGGGAGGTAGAGGAGGAGGGCGAGGAGAAGTGCGATTCTCAGGTACCCAATGATGTTGGGCCAAAACAGCAGGATTTGAGCCACTCCCTGCCTGCCAGGTGGCCCCGACGCGTTTCTGTCACTCGTGACGTCATCCGTGGAGTCTTCAGGCGGACACCTGCTTTCGTTCCTAACTGGTTTCTCACCAGTAACTGAGCTACTAGCGCAGTTACCGTCACCGTCACCGTCGCCGTTACCGTTAAGGTCGCTGCCCTCTCTTGAATGAGTAGTACGATGTTGAGAGTCGCTTGGACTGGCTTCACCGCCGTTCCCATGATGGTTACGCGGCGTCGCGGCTGGATCTGCTGTCCCCGTTTGAAGCCCAGTGGATCGCCAGCCAGCCATCCCGTCTATTCTTCGATATAAGCTCTCCCCGTATTGTGTCACTCGAATCCCACTAACACGCTGCATCCAGTTCCTACTACCTCGCAAATCCTCAAGTGGGCCATGAGTCCTGCTTGAGCTAGTTGCTCCCCGCACCGTTCTTCCGCTGCGAAAACTGTTTCTTCCCGCAAAACACGTCGCATCGTGGCAAAAGGACCTGCAAGGCCAGACCGCCTCGCGGTGCGTTCCAACAGGCCGTAACCGCGTTTCCAGCGAGGCTACAATTGGAGAGTCGAAAGCTGGAGTCAGAGAAGCCATGATAGCGTGTACTGCGGGGCAGCCTCGAAACATTCCTGTGACCAGCACGTTCCATGTAGCCTACAGGCGGGTAACGACAGTGTGGTACGCATTTCACGTCGCATCGGGGCGAAAGGCCCTGCGAGGCCAGACCGCCTCGCGATGCGTTTTTAACTGGTCGCAACCGCGTTTCGAACGAAGCTACAGCAGGAGAGTTGTACGACGGAGTCAGGGAAACCATGGTAGCGTGTACTGCGGGGCAGCCTCGGAACATGCCTGTGACCACCACCTTCCACGTAGCCTAGTGGCGAGAACCTACAGAGTGTGGTACGAATTCAGCCGACCTGTCAAAATAGCGTGCATGATCCATGATACTGTGAATTACGCCAGCTGATTTGACAATTCTAGGCAGGATTGGTGAGTTTATCACATTTTCGACGAGACTTCATAGTCGAAGTTCTGGTTCTGTTTTAAATATGTTATCAGTGCTAAAGATCATACGGGTAGTGCTCAATATGAAGGGCTCTAGTGTAGTTTGGCTGCCTTACAGCTTGGCTGCTGCCAGGATGGAAACTCAGTACAACCAATCAAAGACGAAAGGCATGGTTACATTTTGCAGCAGTGATTGGGCGGCAAAAATTCACACGGGTCACCATCGTTTATTCAATTGCCCAAAACTCACTCTGGGCGACAACACCAATTTCTGAGGCTGCCACGGTCTGCCCAATCTGCCCAATCTGCCCGACACAAATACCGCTCCCTCTGATGCAATCTCAGGCAGCCCCGCTGGGCAGCAACTGTTTCTGAGTTGCCCGCCAATTGTACAGTACTTTTACATGCACGCGCGCCGCACACCAGCTCCCTCCGTCTTGCTTCCTGCGTTTCTTCGTGCGTCCTTATCGCGTGGCGTGAGGACGTCCTTACCCCGATCCCTAGGAATTTAGTGCAGCAGCGGCCAGGGCAGGCAGGCAGGCAGGCAGGAAACAGGGTAGGTTAGTCTGACCGTCAGCATAGGAGGTGCATGAAGACTCTGAGCTCTCGTCTGTCCTGACAATGATTGCAGGAGCTGACCCGTACGGTGGCGTGTGATCAACGTCACGCACGCATGCGTGTTGACGAGGCTAGCAACTCAGGCTCGTCCTCCGTTTAAACGGGCTGATTGTCATCGGCGTCGTCAGCTTCATCAGTCCGGACGGGAGAATTAGTAGCCGTTGTTCGCGTGCGACAGTAGTGTGCCATCGACTCGAGGGGAGCGTCAAGTCGTCTGTGGCTGGAAAGCAGATCGGAGTCGTTGCATTGCCGTCCCTCTTGCCGGCCTGCGAACTGCTCTCGCGATGCGCTTCCTGGAGTCGCGTGAGCGTGACGCTATAACGCGTACGAGTAGGAAGATTTGCCGTCTCGAGGGCTGCTAGCAGGGCTTAGCACAAGGCGCCTCGCGCCGATAGTTCCCTTTTCGCCACGCGCCGAGTCCCCCACGTATTTTCGTGATTGCTTCCACCTTCCGAGCCTCTCGTTCTCTTTCCGCGCCTCTCCGCCTTCCCCATCGCGCCTCTCCGCCTCTCCGCCGTTCGGATTTGCGCTGGTTCGCTTCGCGCGCACTCCTCCCCACTCCCCCCGTCTCTGCGCCATGGCGCGGAGTTGGATGGTTGGCGGAACTGCAGTGGCGGCGCTGGCATCCTTGCTGGCGGCGTGCGCCACTGCGCTGCACGCGAGTGGCGGAGACATGGGGTGAGTGAGGCTGATGTGCGGGGGAAGGAACTGGGGGATGATTGGGGATGCACTTAGGAGTCTACTTCTTAGAAAAGTAGATGTGAGAGCTTTGAAGTATCACCCCAACCCCCTCCTCTCCCCTCTCCCCCCCCGCAGGTTGCATCCCATGCCGCGC